TTCTTCCCTAATAATAATAATAATAATAACAATAACAAAAAAAGAAGTACCTTTTCTTAAATTCAATCCAGCTTTCACATAACTAACCATGCTTTCCTGCAATAGCTGAATAAGTGCAATCAGTAAAACTGATTCTGCTTGAATTACTGTATTTCTTATTTGAGCATTTGTCATATAAATTTTATTATTTGCACCAAAATAACCAAAACCCGATTGGAACATTTTACTTATACTTGCTCCGGGGCTATTATTTGATTTTAATATTTGAATTTGTGCACTTGCTAATTTTTCTGCCATTTTTAAATTCTCAATTGCTAATGATATATCATTTTCATCAAATGTTGTGATTGCTATATTTTTTATTAAGGTACATGATGATGATAGAAACAAAAATTAACATGATGATGATGATGATGATGATGTGTATAGATATTGGTTTTAATTTTCAATTCAAATTTTGTTAGATTCAGCAAACCTTTTAAAAAAGATATACATCCTCGACCTAATGCGTATAAGGGATCTATGTCTGCTTTTTCTGAAAATATATCATTTGCCTCCGAATATTTATTACAAAAAAAGGCTTGAACCTGTTTAAAAATAAAAACAAAAAAATAAAAAATAGAAAAGAAGGAGGAAAAAATCTTGTATAAATATCATTTTTCATCTAAAAAATATCTACAAAAAACAAAACATACGCCTTGCCACATTCGTTCATCTAATAGTCACCATAATAAAAAAAAAATTTTTAAAATTGTTGTCTTTTGAATTTGACCAATTTTATTCTTTTTTTAAAAAAAATGTACAAACCTTCTTTCTCCTGTTCACTTGCTGATAATAGAACTTTACGTGGATCTACCAGTAAATCAGATTGTTGATCAACTAAACCATCAACATTTTTAAGATTTAATAACATAGAATTTCTAGAGTTTGAGCTCATCGTTTTAAGTTTGTTTTTATACTATATTTAAATTCTTTGTAATTGTAATAGTAGTAATAAAAGAATATTTTTCCGTCAATTTATTTTGTAATACATAAATCTGTTGTTGATCTGTTGATTAATTTTTTAATTTTACACGTTTTCAAAAATAGAATCAAACAGTATTTTTTTATAAATAAATAAATATATAAATAAAAAATATATTTAATATATATATATTAATATAAATTGATTAAATTTATTGGAAGCGGAATTTTTAACATTTAAGTAGATTTATTTAAATTCCTTAATAAAGCAAGAATTTGCATTATTATTAAAATCGATTATCCGTGGTTAAATCTCAAAAATTCAAGGGAAAATTTATCAGTATTTAAAAGGGAGAATTTTCCCTGTTCACACACATACCTTTCTCAATATATAAATAATAATAATTGAAATAAATTTTTAATTATTATCTCTAAAACAACTAAACAACAACAACAAAAGTTATATAACATTAATTGAATAAAAGATGGCTAGTGCCGAGTGGAATGGTCAAGGTCATTATTATTGCCTTTTTTACTTTGAGAATTTGAAATTATTTAATTTTAAAAATTTTAAAAAAAATCTTTTAGTTATTGCCAAAGTTTCTAAAACCGATGAACCTCGATTTGAAATATTTGAAAAAAACGTTTATGTATGTAACTTATTGTTATATTTATTTTATTATTGTTAATATTTATTTTAATTAATTATAATAATATTGTTGATCAATAGTTTCCACCAAATAGTCTTAACAGAGAATTTCTTGAAGATACCACACATCATACAACTTGTCCAATGAAGGGTAAAGCATCTTATTATAATGTTGTCGTTAATGGTATGTAATAATAATAACTTAACTTTTAAAATAATTTATTTTTCGAGGTTAAAATAATAAATAATATTAAAATAAACAATAGGGAAAAAACTTGAACATGCAGCTTGGTTTTACCCTAATCCAAAACCAGAAGTAGCTCAACTCAAAGATTATGTTGCATTTTGGAAGGGTGTAGAAGTAACATTAAAATAAAACAATAAAAAAATTTGTTTCCATTATATATTAATATATTAAATAACGGACATATTCGAAATGTTACACCGTCTTTTTTATTATTATTATGTTGCGTAACGTAAAAAAAATACGGTTTTGACTTCTTAATTAATACTAACTCCAGCTGCATCAATCCATCCACAATCTTTGAACAACATGACCAATTTTGAGCCCTAATTACTCCATGACCATGTGGGATATCAACAGAGTAAAATCATAACTTCTTTGTCTCTTTACAATGACTTTTGATTCAACATATTTCTTTTGTGGAGTAATTAAAGGATCTAGCATTAAAATTCCAATATGATATTACGCGGCAAATGTGCAACTTGTGATGAAATTAGAATAGCCTCAAATTATAGCGCAATCACAGAATCAAGTAAAAATAAGCAGAAACTGAGGATATATAATAATCATCAACATAAAGAAACGAACCTGAAGAAATGATCAAAGAAAAGGATCCAGACCTTGATGATTTTTTCAATGTGTTGTTTCAAATATGGATCCAACAATTAAAGAACCTAGTACAGTTGAAAATTTAAGTTTAAAAGTAATGATGATTTATCAACTAACGGGTTCAAGAACAAACAATTTTAATTTGGTAGGGAATAATAAGAATTCTTCGCATATGATTCATACAGTGGCATCACCATTAGGGTTAAAAACATAGAATAAAATGTATGTATTAATTATTCTTAATAATAATTTACAAAACGCGCACTAAAAACGTAATGATTATATACGAGAAAATTGCTTGTTACACGCTATCGCAAAGTCTTGGGCTTGTGAATAAATTTTTGACTTGATAAACCCATATTAAATAAAACCTAAAAACCATTCGCTGGTAAAGGCTTATTTAGCCTGATCCATTCAATTTATCAATTATTTTGCTCTCCCACATAATAACGGTTATAATAATAACAATAACAACAATAACAGTAATAATTGTCATTAACATCAATAAACACGAATCAATAAATATTAAATACATTTCAAAATTTGCTTTATTACTCATAGTATCATTATATTTGTTACAAATTCATGTTTCTCGGGATTATGAAATATTATAAAAACCTACCAATGACGGCTACCAGCCACTAACAACCCGATTCTTTTCGATAAACTGGAAGAACATCAAAGAAACCAGTAATAAGAAAAGAAAACGGATAATCGAACAAAAATTTGGAACCAGAAGAAAGGGAAGATTTAAAAATTCATAAATTAATGTTAGGATCATCCGATGATCAAAGAAATGGGTATTAAAAGGAATTCAAAAGGGTATCGGTCCACAGTTCTACTTTTACTGAGAGAAAAGAGAGACTGACAAGAGAAAAGCAAGGAAGGATCAACTCTAGGCCAAGAGGATTGAAAGAAATACAAAAACAAAATTTATATAAAAAGAAACGATGAAAAATGTGAACGATATAACAATAAAACATAACAATAAAACATATAACAATAAAACAATGTAAAAACCTAGCGAATTTCCAAGAAAAGCCCATAGAAAATTTTACTTTAAACCGAAAGGAAATTAACAAAAGAAGTTCCAACTAAAAAAATAAGTACATAAAAATGTTAATAAAATGAAAATAAAGAAAATGACAACAATATAATAATAAAATAACCCCGAGAACATTTCAAAATTAAAGAAAAGAAGGAAATAATTGATAACAACAAATTTCATGAGAAAAAAAACAAAAAAAAAAATATCAAAAAAATAAATATCATATGTATATATATTAATAAAATGGTACTTTCTAGAAAGATCTGCTTTTTTTTAATATATCTCTATATGGATACAGTCGGAACTAACTTGTTAAGACGATATTTGATAAAACGAATTTATCAGGTAGTAGTAGGTCCTGGCAAAAATAAACAAACTTATTTTCAATAATCATGTGATACAAGTTTAATAATAAGAATATATTTGAATTAAAGAAAAAAAATTATTTCTGCCAGTAATACGTCGGACCTACCTAACAACAAGAACTTATTTTGCCAGATAATGATCAAAAACAATGAGATATCTGATAATAAAGTATATTTTTACAGATTTACTGTACAGGAGTTTGGCCTTTGTAGATCTTGCTAAATATCATTATATTATATTACAGTCTGATGGCTCAGAAACAAAGAAACATTCTTTAGTACAAGATGAAGAATTGATCAATTAAGAGAAGACAATGGATGTGGATCACCCTAGTGTTGTAAGTGAGCACTGCTCCGAAGAAGATTTACATAATTGATTACAAATTGATCATTCAATTGCCTTAACACCCTTATCTAATACCTTTAGGATGTAAAATCAGTAATTAAAAATAAATATGTGTTAAAGTGGAATTTTGAAGAAGATGTGAGGCCTGCAAGAGTGGTATATGTCGTATTTTTTTCTAATTTTTTTTATTAAATTAGTAACTATATAGAACGTATATGTAGAAAAATTTTAATTGTCTATAAATGCGATCTTAATTATAAATTATTTACACTGGCCGAAATTCCAAAATTTGCATTCATATTCAAATTTTCCTAGTCGTTCCAAAAATATCAAAATTTACATGCATATTCATCAAAACCTTAATCTATATTTTGATAAAATTGTATGCATAGTTATTATGCGAGTTTTTACATATTTAGTAGAAATAGGCCTCCAAATACTTTTTTCCAAGGAGTGTATATTAACTTTCTGACTCTACTCTCAAGCAAGGCTCTGAATTATTAATTTAATTACTCGGTTGATTAATTAACTGATATTATTTTCTTGTGTAAAGTCATTTAAACCATTGTAATTGAGTTAATTGAGTCGCACCTAATTTTCGCCTCATATTTGTTAAATTAGACATTTCTTTAAATGTGAACTATTCGATCTTTTTTGTTTGGAAAACATTTTTTCTTCTCCTAGTTCTTCAACATATGTTTTACAAAGGGGACATTTAAATAAATGAGCGGACGCGTCCGCATGACAAATTGTTATGCAGACATTTTGGACATTGTCCGGGACATGTTCGTGCCCACTCGATATTAGGTGGACATGTCCCGTGTACAACTGATGATTATAATAACAATTCATCCAAATGCTATTTGCACCAGTATACCATTGGAATCCACACAATTTATCAATGTCAATATTATTGATTTTAATGGACTTTTCTGCTGCGCAATCCATGTATGCAGTTGGAATATTGTAACGCTATTGGAATGTTCCAATGTGGTTGGTTCCAATGTAGATGCCAATTGAAATTTGTTGGAAATGTTCCAATGGAAATTATCGGAACCATAAATGGCACGGCGCTGCACAATTTATTATTTAATATTGATAATCATTGCCTTTTAAAATAATAATAATTACAAAATTTAATCTTATTACTGTATTATACTTATTAAGCTATATATTATCTGTGGTTGTTGTCATTGATTTTCAATGATTATAGTATTATCATTGATATTGTTGTCATTATCATTGTTATTATTATTACTTTGATTTATTACAATCAATTCAATTGGATTATTATCCACTATGTGTTTATTGCAATGACTATCAGTTTTTTGCTCTGAAACATGAAAAATTATATTTAAAGACAACGTCATTATAAATGATGTTGTGGTTATCCAGCTCATTACAATTGCCACAAAATAAGTACTACACCATTTCCAGTAAAAATGTTGTACTAATGAAACATCATAACCCATTGCTTCGCATGATAATTTTTTGTCTCCCATATACATTGGATAAAGATTTGTTATGCCTATTATTGTTTTTTAAATAAATAAAAGGTAGATTAGTTGTTGTGATAAAGTTTAAATCAAAAACAATTGTAGAGATTAAACATCTATATGTATTATCTTTCTACCTGATGTAATCCATGATATTGTAAGAAATCTAAAAATCAAAATTTATTAAATATCAAGTTACTGAATAATCTAGTCGCTAAAGTCATCTTTAATAACAAAATGGTTGAATAAACAACTTACATATCAATCAATAATAAATTTGGACCTCTATTGGCAATTTTCTTAAAAAATATAAAACAATAAAATAATGCAGCCAATGTCAACAATATTACCACATAATACCATATTTTTATTTCTCCATTATACCTAAAAAATAAAATTAATTTTGATTAATTGTGACTATAATTGCAATGATAATATACTTTTCACTCACTTTTCATTACGTGAAAAATAAATTGATATTGATGCATCTTGTTTTAGTAATTCATGTAGAAATGACATGAACATAGTCAATTGGATTATTTCTAATTTAATTTGAATTTGACAAAGTATTTATTGAAGTAAAGAATATCAAGTTTAGTAATTGTTTGATATCAATTAAATTGCATATATATATATATACCTAGTGAAAAACATATTAAGACCAATCCAAATTGAAAAACTCTTATTTTAAGCCAATATGATTTATTCTTGTAAAATTTCATTCTTGAAAAAGCGATAAAAGATAAAAGATAAAATCAAGGTCGAACGTATTTGAAAAAATATGGGGAAAAGGTGATCATGCGATGTTGTATATAGATAAAAAAATATTTATATACATAGGCAACCCCGTTAATCCGAACCCCGTTAATCCGAAAACCCGTTAAAATGAATAATTTTTAAAACACCAAAGCCAAACATATGTAAATTACCCCGTTAATATGAATGTCACTAAT